AGATGATTAGCAGAAATACTCACAGAAATGTCAAGAAATGTGACAGAAGTTTCACTAATGTCCCAAGTGAATTCAAGAGTTGGGTGAAAAGAATTGACATAGAGAATAAAAGAATCTAGGTCTTGTTTTGAACAAGAAGTAGCACCAATACAATTATCAATGTAGCGACCAAAAAGTTCAGGTTTAATGCCTGGATAGAGATCAAAAATCTGTTGCTCGATGCAGCCAACAAATAAATTAGTATAGCTAGGTCCCATTTTGGTGCCCATAGCTACACCGTTAATCTGTCGAAAAAAGCGGTCGCCAAAGGAAAAACAATTAAGGGTGAGAGCAAGTTCAGCTAAACGTAATAAAGTAGGAGTGCTTGGTTCTAAAACGGTGCGATGATCAAAAAAATGTTTGAGAGCATTGAGACCTTCATCATTAGGAATAACGGTATATAAAGATTTAACATCCATAGTAAATAAAAACCTGGATTGAGAATTTTGAAAATGAAAGTCATTAAAAATTCCGAGGGCGTGATTAGTGTCTTTAATGTAGGTGGGTAGAGTCTGAACGATAGGTGACATAAGAGAGTCAAGAAAGCTAGAAATAAGTTCGGTGGGACAACTACAAGCTGATACAATAGGACGGCCAGGATTATTAGGTTTGTGAATTTTAGGTAAAAAGTAAACATGAGAGGTGCGAGGAGTGTTAATGATAAGATTGTTGGCAGTAGCTGGAAGACTGCCGTCAGAAATAAAAGAGTTAATAGTGTCTTTGACAGTTTGCTGGTAGGTGGGTGTGAGGTCTTTGTTGATTTCAAGGTAAAGCTTCTTCTTTGTACAGATCGGTGTGCCAAACGAAAACAGCATATGGCGCGCCAAACCGGACAAAAATACTTGTATCAAATAGATAAGACTTATTTTGAGAAATATAAAACTTCTTGTCAAAATATGAAACTTGTTTTAAGAAATATAAGACTTATTGTAAAAATATAAGACTTGTCGAAGAAATATAAAACTTCTTGTCAAAATATATGACTTGTCAAAGAAATATACGACTTCATGTAAAAATATAAGACTTGTCGAAGAAATATAAAACTTCTTGTCGAAATATATGACTTTATTGACGCCTGCGATCTGTGGTCAGCAGCACAGAAAATGTCGAGACTGCGGTATTATTGACCAGCGGGCATCAACCCGAGTCATTAAACAAAGATGGCGGACGACTTGGTTGTTCTTCTTGACATTTTACACATTGGAAAACAAATCTGCGACGAAGTGAGAAGAAATATTTTTGTGASCGATAGAGAGACAGCCGGGAAACTCAGGAATAACTGTGTTCAAGTTATCATCGCTTTAGTTGTTGCAACCAGACAACTACCGTTGAACGAGCAAGACCGAAATTTTATTCACGAGAATGTTTATATGTTAATCCTAGAAATTCAGRAATATATTTTATTGTTTGAAGAACGATTCTCYGAAAAGGAAGGAGATGAGTCGCATTATTCTTGCCCCACAGTTCCAGGTGTTGGTCAAGGTCGACCAAAATTCCAAATTCCTTGTGAACAGCTAGAAGGGCTGAGGTCACTGGGTTTTTCATGGACGGCTATAGCTAGAATGCTGGGTGTATCGGAGAAGACTGTCAAACGTAGGCGAGAGGAGTACAATATATCTGAGCATGCTGTACTGTTTTCGGATATCACGAATGATGAATTGGACAGTCTCGTGGAGCATGTTCTGGAAGTGTCACACAATTCGGGAGAACGTATGATGATGGGATGGTTCAAGGGAAGAGGGATTCGCATTCAAAGATGGAGACTAAGAGAGGYAATATCTCGTGTGGACCCAATTGGGCGARAGCTCAGAAGGAAAACAGTCACCAAGAGGAGAGCATATTCAGTTCCAACTCCAAATGCATTGTGGTAAGAATATAGCTACACTGTAAAAACTTATTCTAAGGGGAAACAATCATTTTGTCCATAAGTACATTCCCCTTAAAAGTTAAGGAGGCCTACTTACCTCATGGACAAAAAAGAGTGTTTCCCCTTAAAATATGATATACTYATAAATAAGCTTAATTACTGAATTTGTTGCAGTAGCCATTATTAGCCTTGATATGGTTTTCTCACAGCCATATTTATTTCTGGCTTATAACACATACCTTGGTCTTAATAATTTATAAGCTAACAAGTTCATCTGGTTACATGTACTATATTTGCCTGTTATTAACTGATTGCTGGAACCAAAACACTAGTACGATGCACACTTTAAAGCATCCTACCACCAGAACGACTGGTTATAGTRGGAATTTTAATTTCTTGTATTATTTTATAACCATTAACACTGTAGTGATGTATTTGATGGCTTGTACCATTAATTCACATCTAAATTATGTATGAAACAAGAAAAAAAGTTTTAGTTTACAGCACGCCTTTAATATCATGGCCACTGTACAAATGTTWTATAGAAGTATCCCATGTTAGCCATCTTATAAACCAAGATTGCAATTGCAATTAATAACCAGAATTTCCCAAGTACTGTGGATATGTTTAATTTGTTGTTGTATTTGCTTTTCAAAACAAATACCAGCTGTGAAACGTGTTAATTATCTGATTGGTTAACTTTATGGAACTTTTGTAGGGTGACCACAATAAGGTGCCTAAAATATGTTTTATTAGATCATTCATGTGGTTTTTTGCAACATACAAAAAGGAATTACTGTATTATTATTATTAAAGGAAATTCTTTTTAGACATACTTTGAAACCACAAGACTAGTATTTAGTATCTATTATTATTTTTTTCCGGTCCGGTATCCTAAAAAATCGTGCGTTCTGATTGGCTGTTTGAGCGGGCGGTATTTTGTCAGTATCTGCCCACGCGCGCGGTCCGGTATCCTTTGCCACTAAACGACAAAACAAAACGATTACAAAAACAAGTAAAAACAATAAGGGAAAAAAATTAATAAGTTATTTACCGTCCTATAGTCGGTCCGGATATGGAAAAACTGTGCCCTCGGTCCGTATATTCCAGACCTCGGGCACAGTTTTTCYCTATCCGGACTTCCTGGCCGGTAAATAACATATATGTAAGTACAAGTAATGTTTATAAAATAACCTTAGCTRATTATATACACTGTATTACATATTTTGCAGGCACCTTGATGGGCACCACAAATTGATACAGTGGCGAATTGTCATTCATGGTKCCATAGATGGATTTTCCAGATCTGGCGTGATGTGCATAATTATGTTGTTCAATACTTTAAAAACATTTTCTTTTATTTGGAATCAGTTGAACTTCTAAATCGTGATGATGATGAAGTGGATTTGTTTGCTTTACATTATGTTTATYTACCACGCATAAATAATGCTATTCAACAATTTGTTTTGCAATGGAACAATCACTCACTCTCTGGTGATGGTGGATATACCCCTTTACAGAGGTGGACAGAGGGCYTTTACAGATTTRCCCAGTCAGATTATATGACTGTAAGAGACATGCTCAACCCACAGAATTGTAATCAGGATTATGGTGTTGATGATGATGGAYCAATGCCTGAGCTTCAAACCAGTAACCATGTTGAAATACYTGCATCTACCATTCACCTTACGGAGGATAAGATTTCCCAGCTCATAAGTGATGTTAACCCAGTTTCCAATGACTATCATCATGGAATTGAGTTGTATTGTGCTGTCTGTAACATTGTAAGAGAGATAATTGGTAACAATGAATGATTTCTTAATTTCATTACTAATCACGTAATTATTAGTAATTAATAATTACCAATTCCATTGCAAAAGAAAGTGGGCAAAGCATTCTGGTAGCTGTAGTTAATTATGTGGTCATGCATTATCGCCTTGTAATCCATCAATGGGCTATTATTATCCAACTATAGGATYGTCATAATCTATTTAGCATAAAAAAAGAGTTTATTTTTAAAACAAACAGGAGCCTTTCGTAATCACAGGGCATATCACGCAGTTTATTAACAATATAGTTTGTGTAAACTTTAAAATGCATGTCACCCAAAAAGTTTTATTTTGTGGATATACAGTAGACTTTGCAATATGTGAGGTTATTTAGGTTTGAAATGACATTATGCTAAATTGAACAGTATTCATTTGGGTGTAAACTTTCAGGTTCGAGTATTTTTTTAGTTTCAATATGAAGCTCTGTCTGACCCTCCC